CTTTGCATCAATAATAATAAAGCATTGGAAAAATGTACAGGTATTCTTAGATCTGCCAACGTAATTTTTAACAAATAATATGAAATAATATGAAATATCCTAAATAAAATCTTAAATTTTCACTAGTTAATGTAACAGATCCCCAAAGTTCCCCAGTAGGACACCATGTATTAAATGCTAATAAAAATAATATATAACTTCTTCACAACTTACAGCCTACGGAATGGTATTTAAGACAAAAAAATAATAAATATCCAATAAAATCACAAAAATATGTGTGCTTCAAACGATAACAGTACTCATTTCCATGCTACTAAATCCTTAATTGGTTTAAACTTTAGCGAGAAACTGTTTGTGTATGTGTTTAACAATCGTAACGGCCGACAAAATGTAATAAATATAGCTAAAAATAGAGGTGAGCAAGTTTCGCCGACCATTTAATCTGAATGCATTATTTTGCGTGTATATTTAACTTCTTCGCTTTCATTCGAACCAAAGTTTGGTTATTGTTAGAATTAAATCAGCCACAATCTGTAAGAGAATTCAATGACTGTAAATACTTTGTACCGTTTATTATTACGAGGAGAGCAGTTGCTTTGATCTAGTTATTACTTTTGTTCAATGACCACCCCTCCCGTTGTTTGCAAGTTTTTAAAGATTTAGTGGGTTCCAACGAGAACAACAAGAATATACTATACTATACTATGCTAAATATAATTGAATGTCAATAATCAAGGGGACGTTTTTTGGATTCATTTTAAAAGGAAAACTTCATGTGCCTAAACGTCTTTTGAATTTTGAGATACAGGGTGGTAAAGTTTTCAAGAATATATATTTTTTTAATATCTGCAATATCACTTTAGATATTTTAATGGAATTTGGTAAACATATACTATGTACCAGGAGGCATTATTTAACGTATCACAATTTCTTTAAAATACACCAGTGGCGGGCGTACGGAATTTCACCTGTCAATTTTGGCAGACATTGATGGTACGCCACTGATTTATCTTAAAATAAAAGTTATTCTTAATTTTTTTTTTAATTCTTTGATTTTTTTAGATCCGATGTACTGTTTTCGCTTAAAAAATACATGATCACGTCAATATCGTAAATATGACAGCATGCCGAGAATTATTATCATTATTATTTCTTATTTCAGTAATTGTCTATCTGTTTTATAAAAGTGTTTCAAATAATTGAAGTACGTAAATTCGGATGTGTATTTTTTAAATCTTTAAAATTATTTCTTATTATTTTAGTAGGTTGTGTCTGTAAGAATTATTAATTCTGTTGTCAGGGCGATTGTTTCACAGTTGTGACATCAGTTTTTAAATTCAGTTCTTCGCGTCTTATTAATTTGGTTTTTAAAATATACGAGCATTGTTATTTTAAAAAAGGAAGGTCTAGTTTATTAATGAGGAGTTGGCATACATTTTATGTATGGTTTGGCTGATGGTATTGCGGAAGCTAGGCGATTATATCAAAAGCGCCTTTATAATAGCTTTATGTCGGATAGGCGACGAACATTACCAAATATACATAGAAGATTGACTGAAATAGGTACTTTCAGCGCAAATAATAATTTACAAGGGGCCCATCAAACTGTAAGAAATCCAGAAATTGAAGAAACAGTTTTAAAGTCTTGGTTTGGAAAATTTTGCAAGATTTTCTGCTAATCATATTCAACGAGTTCAAGCGTTTCTTCCCAAAAATTTTTCCTTGAGTGTTAATTTTTGTCAATGGTTTTTGGACAATTTTTTGACTAAGAAATCCTATTTATAGATGAAACTTTCCAGAAATACAATCAGAACATTTTTCTGTAAATATTTGGACTGGAATTGTTGGAAATTACTTAAGTGGGCCATAATTTTCGCCGGTTTTTAGAAGAGGATTTGCCAATATTGTTAGAAGTATCACATTTAATTAGAAACAGAATATGATTCATGCATGCGCGCCTGCTTGTTTTAGTGTTTCAGTAAGAGAATATCTAAATTACACATTTAGAACCAATGGGCAGAAAGAAGCGAAAACCGTACATCGGATTGCAAAAAATCAAGAAATTAAACTTTACAATTCCGGATCTCAATAGTTAAGACCTTTAGGACATGTTCATGTGAAGTTTTCTTTTTAAAATGGATCCAAAAATCGTTCTCTTAATTATTAATATTCATTCAACACCCTGCATATTTCCCATGCAGGGAATCTTTGCTTGGGGATGTAGATTTGAAACACTGTATAGTAGCATATATTTAAATAATATAAATTAATTAAATATAATATAAATGGTATCTCATTACTACGGGATTTTTTACATCTCCATAAGAGTTTGTTTGTTACGTTGGTTTAATTTACGCCAAAAGGATTCTGGAACTGATGTCTAGAACTCTCTAGAACACCCGATTTAGTGCCATTGGATTTTCACCTACAGAGCAATAAATTTTAACCGTCTTTAACTGTTATATAGCATAACCCTTATATAGCACAGGCAAGCTCAAGAATGGCAACTAACTATTTGACAATGGGTTTATCGCACGGTATCCAAAGTTTCTTTAGATATGACAACTTTATTATAGTATGCTTATTTTCAGTGGTTTTTATTGTTTGTTCTATATCTATGTTTTATTGCAACAGCCACTTACAACTTACACTTTATGCAAAAAATGGCCTTATCGCAAAACGTATTTTTAAGTAGGTGTATATTTGTAAGCTAAAAATATGTGTACATAAAATCAACATTACTTCCCAATTATAACGTGAAAATGGTCTATATTTAGATTATGTACGCGCGACGTATTATTAACTTTTCAAGTAATTCATGTCGGTTGTTGATTTTGTGCATTCGATAAATTTTGTCCACCCCTTGTTTGGCCCAGTTAAAACTGCAAAACCGCATCGCTGTTTGATTCAAGAAATAAACTAAATCAATTTTTCAAAGAAACTTCCACAGGGTACTGTAATACTTTTTATAAAACTTATGGATTCCTCCTGCGTTGGTTTTTGTTGACTCGAACTAGCAGAATAAAATACGAGTCAGTTTCTGTCAAGTCCTGGCCCTGGTAGTTTCCTGGGCAAGATTGATTCAATGGTCTAGGGTAAAATTGTATCAATAAAATCCAGAATAAGTTATTGCTGCCGTTAGACCTATTCTTAAAGCTTGATTTTTAAAAAGGAATTGAAAATCCTTAGTTAATGAGATAACATAATTATCTTATGAATTTAATGAGCATCTGTTTTTTAACAGGGATAGGATTATTTTAACATGGTTTCAGTGTCAATGGCGACAGAAATAACCATGCAATATAAAAATGAATAAAATAGTTTACAAACGACATACACGTACGAAGTGGCCGTGCTTTATGCCTGTAAAGTCTGTAAAAAAACTTAAAGACAAAAATTATCGATTAATCCATGTCCAACAAAACTTATGCAATGAAATTCTCTTAAAAAACCGTAAAATTGTCTGAAACACGATATTACGGTTCGATGATATATGAAATATGACTAGAATTTACCGAAGAATTCAAAAACTATTTAATATACAATCAAATATTTAAAAAAAAAGTTGTTACTTAAGCACGAAAGTACAATAACCCCGTATATACAAGAATATAATTTTATAATTTATAATAGTTACAAATCTTCTGGATTGCTCCTGCGTCAGTTGTTGATCAATCGAACTTTCCCACGATTCGTCAATCATCCTGTTGTCTTCTTCAGTTTCAGTTAATCTCTGAAGAAGCCAACAGAATGATTGGTGAAGTGTCAGCAAGTTCGATTAATCAACAACCTACGCAGAGGGAATCCAGTAGATTTGTAAATAGTACTACAATATCATATTTTAAAAGTATGAATAAATATAATGTAATATAATATGTACAATAAATTTAAATAAACAACAAACAACTTTTGTCTAATTTTTTTTTAATTTTTTTTTAGAGATTGTGAGATAAGATGTCTAATAGAAATTCCCGGGACTTCAATGATCCCACAACGCTTATTTCCTTATATTATGCTTTTATTCAAAGTAGGATTTCTTTCGCATCTGTTATCTGGAATCCACGCTACGCATTTCATGTCAACAGAATCGAGAACACTCAAAATAAATTTTTAAAATTTCTCGCTCTTAAGACCCACACTCGTATAGAAGAAAGAGATTATCGCCCAATTAAACTGAACTTGTGTATGCTTTACAAAATAACAAACTCACAAATCCATATCTTTTGTCGAAACTTAACTTAAGAATTCCCGCTCGAGATTTAAGATACGCTAATCTCTTTGAAATCCCACATAGTAGAACCAACACACGGCAGCATTCCCCTTTGCTAAGAATGCAAAGTTCGTATAATAAACTTAACGCGAATTTTAACCTCGACATCTCTTCAATATCTCAGATGCAGTTTAAACGATATATCAATTACTCCATTGCTAGGACTTATAGTGTCACTTAGCAGTGTATGAGTGTTAAATATCTTCCTCTTTTTGTATAATGTTCTACATCCTACTTATGTTTGTTTTGTATAAATCCACCGATTTGTGGTTACTATTTTTTGGTACTAAGTACTGTAAACGACCTAAACTTGTAATAAATAAATAAATAAATAAATCCCGTAATAAACGAGCCACACTGTCGATCCACATGGACGATAACAAACACCTTTGCCATTTTCAGTTTTCTAAGATTTGCAATTTATTCATTTCAATTATAAAATCAAATTTTATGTTCATTTATTGTATTTATATCTCCTAAAAATGCCATTCAATTTTCGAAAAACCGCGGTTATTAACCCACATTTCAAATTTTGGCACCCAAACGTGATATCTAATTTTAAATCGAGTAGATCCAACTTTTAAGCAATTTATTATGTCTGCTATAAGTTTGTATTATATTTTTTCGGAAATTTGCAAAACCCAAATAGTTTGAACGATCATTTTGACGACAAAACGTCATTTTACCCCTTAACCCCTTAAAAATTAATACTTTATATCTTTTAGGCTATTGTGTTATATTGCTATTTATAATTCACAAAATAATGATTCCTAATAATTTAAGTAACTCAGCCATAACTAAGTGATACACAAGAAAAAAATAAATAATTGCTGGCTTATCAATTAAGTATGTCCTTATCTACATTCTCCATTAATTCGTCGCACTCACTCATGTTGTCTAAACTGGTCTCGGGACATTTTTTTTCCAATATCACTTCAATCTGATTTTTGGTAATTTTACTCTGATTTGTGACATCTTCATCAATTATGGGCAGTTCCTTTAATATTGAAGTCGGTAATGCCACGTGATCCATTAAACTCGTGTCTATGATATCCATGTCCTCATGGTCTATCGACATCTTCTTCAGGATTTCCGAGTCGATGCGTTTCAACTGTTCTTCTGATAACTGACCCAAAGCTTGCTGCACCCAAGACTCGGACAGTTCTTTTTTGAGGCAAGTAATAAAATCGTATATTTGACCTAATGTAAAAATAGCCCGAATTTGGATGTTTTCCGTAACATCCCCGTTTAGCGTCTTAACTATCTCTAAAAAGTTTTGATGAATCAAATACAAAATTCCTTGTATGTAAGTCCATCTGCTTTGGTCAAAATCGATTTCTTCTATCGAGTAAGTATGTATGTCTTTGTATTTCTCTCTGATCTCTTCCAAAGATTTTTCGAAATATATAGGCACGGAATCGTTATCGGAATATTCTACCTCCGTTCTCAAAAATAACATATCTTTATAGACGTCTTGTTCCAATTGCTTGTCTATTTCGTGGCAATATTTGTCAATTTTCGCTAGAGCTACAACAGCTAATCTATTTGATGGCCTACCGTTCCCTTCAATCAATTTTTCAAATCCACCCAAATAAGAAACATTTTCTTTACTTAAAGTTGGGTTCAGCAATTCACTAATGCCAAATAAAGGGACGTATCTGTATAAATACCTCGCGTCCCTGGTAAACATTGCGTAATAGGGAATCAGATTTTCCGCAACCCATTTGATTCCGTACTGTTTGGCCAACAGCGGCAAAATCAAACAAGCACATCGTCGAACCGCACAAACTGAATCGCCCAGTAAGGTAGCGTAGTAGAGTTTAAAATTTGCCGAAAAGTAATCGGAATTGCAGAACTTTGCTAAATCGACAAACGTCATCAAAACACTTCGCCTACTTCGCCAATTGGTTTGGGACTTAACCAATACGCTTCTAATAGCCGCTTTAATTGTATCCAAGGATTCTTTTAGATCTACGTCACGAGATATGTTACTCAGACCTTGCAAGTAATTCGCTTGAACAACCATCGATTGTTCTTTTTCCAACGCTTCGAGCAATACGGGTATCATGTTCTTTTTGAAGCAGCATTCCGTCAGAATTGTACCAAGAGATAATATATTGGAAGACAGCATTAACCTAACATCGTCCGCGTCGTCGGTGAAGAGTCTGCGAATAACAGGCATGACGCTTTTCTCGAAAACAATCTCGAAAGTGGTATCAAACTGTGGCTGTTTGATGTACGAGTCGCGCAAGCTTTGACTAAAGTTGAAGACGCTGCTAGCTGCAACCGTACGAACTGCAGCTTCTATGTCTTGGGATAATTTTTGGAACACGGAAATGAGCCTATCTCTGTATTTGCTGTAATAGATTTTCCGTTGAATTTCAGCGATATTAATCGCTAAACGATATCTCGACTTCCAAGAAGGGTCATCTGCAATCAAAAATTCAAAAGAAAATGGTTACTACTTTTTGCCTTTTTGCCTCTATTTTCGTTAGCATCTTCATGATTCCTATCCATGCTCGCAGTAAATTATTTTTTTTAAAGAAATTGTATGATTTCGGAAAGTTGAGAGTTTTGCTAGATATAAAAAAAATATATTTTTTGTGAAAAATCACGTAGTAGATCAGCGCATAATAAGTTAGCCAAACTTGAGCATGTAACAAGAATGATGTTTTTTACAACATTTATGAATGAAATAAATTTCAGTACTGCCTTAATAAAATAAGATGAAAAAATTGCACAGGCCCAAAAAAATAGTTTATTTTTAGCAAATTAGGAAAAAGAAGCCCTGTATTGCCCATTTGGCAAATATTAAATTAAAAGTGCCCAAACTACCAAAAACGCAGTAACCACAATACCAAAAATGTTACTAACAAAGAAGTGTTGGTTAGTCTTAGTCTTAGTCTTCTGTACATCACGTAACTCGTAATAGTCATTCCGGAGATTCAAGTTCAACAAAAACCTCTGGTATAAATTATGCTTTTATTTTTTCGTTTCATTTATTGAAATTTGTGAAATTTTATATTATAGAAAGAATGGTTTAGGTGTTTTTTTTTGAAAATTTCATCATTAATAAAAGGTGGCGAAATATGTAATTTAATAAATATGATCAAAATTTCAATATTATTGAAATATAAATATCGACAGTCAGGTCAGGTATTTTAATATCTGCATCAGCAATGCCTATAAAATTATTTGTTTGGTTATTTTAAGTTTGACACGAAAAGACTCATGAACATACTCACCACTTGCCTGCTCTATTATTTTGAAAACGGATTCATTCATTTCGACCTCACTCAGTTTATCGGTTAGGGACAATGCAACGTCAATCGTGATAGACCTCACCGTGTCCTAAAATCGAAAAATAATTCAATGTGTATAATAAGTATGAACAAAAAAGTTTAACATAATTAACATAATTAATAAATTCATGTTTTTATGGTTCAAATCGTGTTGTTTTGCGAAAATGTACCCAAAAACTAATGGTCGTGCAAAAAGTATAGTATGCAGCTCGTTAAATGCCGTTTACTGCACTTGTTGCATAATATACTATTCTCCCCTTCCAGCGTTATTTAACTTTTTACCTTGTCACTGTCTTTTACTTTAGTCACGGGTTGGGAGCGATCGTATGCTTGTAATGGTCGTAATTTACTTCTTTAGACGCTCGTTTATTAAACAGTTCCTCCGCTGCGCGCCGTTCGTGTTTGAACAAACTACAATGTCGTTTATAAACCTTACTGCATAATATACTATTACAGTTGTATTTTGGTGCAAAATTTCTCAAACATCAAACTCTCCAGATTAGGTATAAACCATAAGAAAACACTGATTTTGACCAGAGAATTCGAAAGTGCAGTCTTATACAAGCTATACAACCTTTATCACTTTAATATGTTTGTGACAACTAGTATAATATTAAAATAATTTTAAAAACATAGACCCCCATATATGTCAAAGTCACGTATTTTGACCATAATATTCAGCCGACAATCATAAAAAAAGACTGGAAATAAATATAATCCAATTCTATGGTTTATTTATTATTCAACGTTTTAAAATTATAATTAAACGTTTGTCATTTTTTTTTAAATCGTTTTTTGTGAGTACGCTAGAACGGATTGAAGTATCAAAGATGAATTTTATTTTTTTTTTATGCAGCCAGGGCTAGCGATTTTTCTGTTTCATATACCTCAATGGCACTTTAAAAGTGATAGTATTAATATAAAGTATTAAATTGGTATATCGAGCTAGATAAAGGATTACCAGAGGATCTTGGGCGATATCGCATAAAATCGGAATGAATTCCTCTCGAACGTAGTCAATTTCCAGACAATGGAAAAAATCTACACACGCGAACGCAGCCGCTCTACGAACCAGAGACGAATCATCCTGAATTAACGTTCTAAATCTGTTGCGCAGTTCCTCTTTTTTCTGATCACCTAGTCTCGGATAACACGTCTGAAAAGAATGATGTTTATAACATGATTTGATTTCTACATATCGTGGATTAATCGAATTCCTAACAGTTGAAAATCAAACTAAAATTTATTCCAATTTCAAGCAAAAGTTTCTTTTCATTACTTGCCGAAAACAGCATCAGTGCTGAACATTTGCTGGTGAACCATTCTTCGTTAAACAGTCTCCGAACTACTGGAAATAATAATTCCTCCAACAGATCATCACTTAGTTCCGCAGCGAAAATTTTCAGTGTTTCAACTGCCCGTTCTCTAACCAAGAGCTCGTCCGTGGCACACAGTTTCGCCAATATGTCAAAAAGTACGCCAGCGTGCTGATAACCCCCGACTAGCGGCATAAAATGTTCTAATTGCTCGGATAAGTTGAAGAGAATTTCATCGTGGAGCTCAATGTTTTGCTCTATGAACGGCAATAACTCCTCCCTAGTTGCCCTTTCGCCTAGCGCTTTGGCTAACATTTGTAACCTTTTTACAATGTCGATTTGTAACTGAAATATAGAAAGGTATTGTCAACGAAATTTATTATTACATTCAAACTCGATAGAAACAAAAGACTTCACAACAAAGCAATAAAAAATGTACCCCCGAAGTATACCTATAATTATAATTTTCTCCATATTTTTACTCACTTTTTTATAGCACAATATATCTTTGAATCTTTGAACATGAATATGTTTGTTCCATGATAGGCATGATTTTTAAATGAATTGATTTTTAAAAAATTAAACGTGATTTGGCAATACTGGATAATACTAGATTTCTCTGCAAAGCAACAAAGTTGGCGCAGAAGCGTCAATACGGCGTTGTAACCTGCTTATGCGCAGTGTGGTTGTATTGGTAGTCGCGCTAGTGTGTTCGCGGCTGTTGTCTACGTTGTTGCCTATTTCTAGTGTTCTAGAACGTATAAATATGGAAAGAAGATATTGTGTGAACATTCCAAATAACTTTTGCTATACCTGTGGTAGTTATGTGGTAGTAAAGCAAAGGCAAACTATAACTTCTTTTGTGAAAAATGGTTATTTTGGTATAAAAATTGGCGACCAAGACAAGTCCCGTTCTCCTCATACTGTTTGTTCCCTTTACATTGAAGCATTAAGAAACTGACAAAAAGGGAGGAAGAAATGTTTAAGCTTTGGTGTTCCTATGGATTCAACGACTCTAATAGAATGACCCACTAGAACAAGCCTTACACCTAGTAGCAAAAATGTATTAAGAGATAGTTTAGTTGACCCCAAAAAAGTTTTACTGTCTCCTCTTAATATCAAACTTAGCTTGATCAAGCGGTTTGTTAAAGCCCTAGATAAAAATGGACGGTGTTTCAAATATTTGTGCGAGAAATTTTCAGCCATATCCGATGCGAAGATAAAAGAAGGTATTTTTGTTGGGCCGCAGATAAGAACATTATGCAAAGGTAAGGATTTCACAATACACAAAACGTGTGAGTTTCATTTAAAGAAGTAACTGATAGGTTTCTTGGCAACTCTAAGGACGAAAAGTACGAAAGTGTTTTTCAAAATATGTTACAACACTTTCATCGCCTAGGTTGTAATATGAGTTTAAAAGTGCATTTCCTGTTTTCACATTTGAACTATTTTCCTGAAAATCTTTTAGCAGCTAGCGAAGAACAGGGAGAGAGGTTTCACCAGGACATTAAGGAAATGGAACGGCGGTACCAAGGCAGATGGCGGCGGACTACTGCTGGATGTTAAAACGGTATATGCCCTTAAAAACGCACAGCCCAATGTCCGGACAACGAAACTTAATGACAAAAATAGGAAGATTTCACTCAAAAAAGTCTGAGTAATGTTTCTTTTTCACTTTTGTTTTTTAACTAGGATTCCACTTTTTTACTGAATAAAGAAACACATTATTTTAGAATTTTTTTCCTTTAATATTTGCACAAAAATCTTACGTGCTACAAATAAATGAATAGAATTTTTGAAATCGGCCTAGTAAAATTATATAAAATCAGTTTTCAAAATAAAAAGTTTAATTATTAAGTTTTAAGTATTAATTATATTTTTCCAAAATTTTTTTGATTCTATGATTCTATATTTTTTAAACCTGCTAAGTAACAGTAAACGTTAAAACAAAATAATCTTATTGACTTGTGCAGATACACTAAATACATAGTCATCTTGCAAAAGAAGAGATATTTCAAATAATGTAAAGTATTTTTTATAGTTTCCCAATTGTAAATAACGAGCTAAAAAATTGTTGTAATTTTTAGAGATAAATTCAGCACACAACTACTTTACTACAACTTTCTAATTCACCATAATATAAACGATGGACTTACGGTCAAATTATCTTCAAGCATCGCCCCCTTGAAAACTTCAAAATCCTGAATCAACAAGCCATCCGCCATTGCTTCAGTATTTTTAATTCATCGAGACTTGAAGCACGGTCAGGTTAATTTGAGAAATCGCGTTGTATATTTACAACTATAAAGTATTGTATTATCTTATCGGAATTCGTCTGTCGTTAATCTCAAAACAGATAAACTCTATCTTAAAAGATTTTTAAAAAATGCTGCAATTGTTCGTTTCAATTTTGGAACAAGCTTAATCTCTCATTTCGATCGTACCCAACCAGTACCTCGAAAAATAAATATTTGGGAAAGCGATTGTGGAAATGATGTACTCACGTTTTAGTTATCGCGGAGATAATATTAACAAAGTTAACAAAAGCACAGGATGTCCATATATGAATTAGAACCCCCGCTTACTGATTCTATATCAAGTTTGATAAACGATATTTCAATCACCAGTTTTAGTTACCAGTTACTAAAGAAGTTTTTCAATTTGTTGCATATTATACCTCTTCTATTACAATTACTTTTACAGTTGAGGTGACCGTCAGAAATAACAAACATCATAATACCATGACTAAAATCTATCTAAAACATCCGATCGCTCTCAATCGTGTGACTCATGTACTGGAAACGACCGAAGTGGCTTCCAAGAGTCCATAATGAACTTGTCGAGTTAAGTGTTATTGTGTGCACATCATTAGCGCAAAATTGGGGAATGGAAAAAATAGTTTTGGGTATTAGCAATATGCTAAGACAGATTTCTACTTGGTAGATACAGAGTGTTTCAGAACAAATACGAAAACTAAGGCAATGTTAAATAAAGCAGTAATAAGGAACGACTTAAGAAGTGACAGCAGCCCAATAGATTTTTTTGCCTAATCAGTTTTTTAATCTCTTTTGCATTGCTTGAGATTTTTTTAATTTCAGAACGTTGTATTGCGAAAAATCGCAGTAGACAACAGTTTCTGAATAAAACATAAAATACAAAATATATATTTTTATGTCACTGCATAAGTTTTTCTCAAAATTTTGTTAATATTATATGCAGAAAGTGTGTTTTTGTAACAGTAATATTTCCGCAATATTTTATTGCTCTATCTATTTTCGTTGATAAGATAAAAAATAAAAATATAATTTTTGCATCGCGCTACCTTCATAATGGTTAGCTTTTGCTTATGTATCAGACTACCCTTCATTTTAAACACAAGGAATCACCTTTATTTTGTTGAAATACTCTGTATACATTTTCATCTGATTAAATTAGGTAAACAAACATGGATATTTAAAAGAGGAGTGAATCGCAGAAGATTATGGTGTACACCATATCAAAGGAATTGTAAATTATATTGAAAAGTTTTAATAGTTAAAATTAATTCTAATTTTGATATTAATCATTCTAGATTTGTTATGAATTTTTACGGAATTTTCGTGTATAAAATATTTTAAAATTTCTTTATACATGAATTAACTAATCGGGACGACCGTTGCCTTTTTTAAAAACTTTATTTAAATTTACAACCGCTTTAAAATGGTCTGTTACAATAACATATCTAGACAGAACTGTTCTTGACTCCGTTAAACTACGTTTTTATATGAAGAAATAGGACTCTGCTGGGTCAGCATTCTTGGATCTTCGCTAGTGAGATAACTCCTCCCCCTTAAGCTTCAACTACACCGTCAAGAGGGGTAGGTTTTTCCACTTCTTGCTGCTGTTTCTTGCTGGATTTGGTGCATCTTGCCTGTAACAATCTTCTATAGCAAATAAATAGACACAAACTGATTATGACCATGTATACAAGGATGGTCCATATTCTCGGATATTTGTAAAACTCCGAGAACTTCAGAAGTGGGTAATTTAACTGAATTTCATTCCTTAAAAGGTTTAGTTCATCTAACTTAACTTCATTTAATTTGACAGTTAAATCCATCTGGCTTTGTTGTGTTGGAATATCTGGCAGATCAGGAAATAATATTGGCTGAGTACTAAGGTTGATTGATCTGACATCACTAATTATTGTGTGATGATCAATTTTTACGAGGCATCCTCTTGGAATTTTGGCTTGGTATGTCCCATGAAAATTCTGAATCTCTTCCTGAGCGTTGCATTTAAGTTTAACGTTCTGTATATCTGGGACTACTAAAATCCATTGATTGGAATTTTCTAGTTGATTAACTATTAGCTGGGTGATTTTGAGTTGTGTTTTGTGGCAATTTGTGATTTGTGGATTTGTGCTCAACAAGGCCATTTCGCAAGGACTGCTGTTGTCGTTATTCTTGATTTCTTGTTGGGTGCAGACGAATAGACCTTTAGTAGCCTCCTTGCAGGGCCCATTATAGTATGCATGTTGCAATTCACTTTTTATTAAATATTTTGCACGCGGTAAAACAACCCTAAACCAACTCTCGCGTCTTATGGGGATTGAGTAGAGATGAAAGTAATCGAAAATTATTGGATTAGTCATTGGTATTCTCAAAAGGTAATTGATTTTATTATTCAAAATAAAACAGTCAATAGTAATTAATTTCTCAAAAATAAAAGTGTTTTCTAACGTTACAGGTATAATCATTTGGTTTTTTCTAACTTTGGTTTGCAAAATAAGAAGTTCTTTAAATAAGTCATTAATCTTAATGATACTTGGGTGAATAATTTTCAATTTTGAGAAAGTTATTGAATTTTCTTGTAAAATTGATAAAATTACTTCTCCATTCTTAATTGTAGTTTTTATATTAATAATTTGTTCACAGCAAGGGGCAATAGTTATAAAATTTAAACTGTTTTGTCTTGTTTGGTGAAAAGATAATTTTATTTCTGTATATGGAGTGATCAGATAAGATTTTTCAAAGTTTAGACTGGTTTGCAGTAATTTTAAATTATCGGTTCCGATCAAACCGTCGAAATAATTATGAAAATTGAAGAGATAAAATTTTAATTTCATTGGGTTTGGTAAATTAAATATTTTTGATGGAGGTAACAAAGAACTATATTTGTGTGAGGTGGCTGATTTTGAACTACTTTGGTCATATTTTGAAAATATTGCGTGTTACTTTCTTGCATTACAAATGTTAAGGCTTTCGACAGACAATCAGGTTGCATACATCTAATGGTTGTACCAATAGGTTCTTTTAAAGCAAGGTCGTTATAGAGTTTACGTTTTATTTGTTTTGCTTCATTAGTCGTTTCATGCGTATCAATAAATGAACAAATCAAATTTAGGATATGCAAAACTCGATCGTAAAATTGAGTCGGTTTTTCATTTGGCTGTTGGCGGAGCATCACTAAATCTCTGTTAAGACATGATTCGTCTCTTTGGTCCGCGAAATTTCTATACAAAATATTTTTTAAATCATTCCAAGTACTGGATGTTTGAAGATTGATCACGACTTTTGCATTTCCTTTCAATTTACTAATTAGACAATTCAACAAGTAAATATTTTCGAAAGAGTTAGGTTCTCTGCCATTATAAAATTTATCAATAAAAGTTTGACAAATAGTTAGGTATCTAGATGAATCGTTTGGGTTCCCATCGAATTCTGGGACGCAGTTGAGATATTCAGATTTAAAAGTAGCCATACTTATAAGAGATTCACTAAATTGACTGTCTGATTCTAAATTATGTTTTTCAAAAATAGTTTCCAAATTTGTTGCGAAATAATTTTTCTGACCCGAGTTGGTTGAAGGTGTATTATTACTTAAATCGATAGCTAACGTTTCAATATTATCAATTATTTCGTCAAGTTCCGACATTAACAAATAATTGCAACTTCAAGACTTCGATCGGCGATATTGGTCTTCACAAAAATTCTTGTCCTTGCGAAACTAGACGATATGGTTTCTAGTTTCCGATGATCGTGTTCTGTACAGGTCTTCGATAGACTGGGGTTTTCGATTTTCAGAAATCCACTCTGTCAAACACTAATCACCAATAGGTCCGATTTCCAATTAATCGATGATACGAAAAATCGACGTCGCGATGCGGTGCGCTAGTCAATTTCTGGAAATCCTACTACGACTGCGCCATTTCACTACTCGGGACGACCGTTGCCTTTTTTAAAAGCTTTATTTAAATTTACAACCGTTTTAAAATGGTCTGTTACAATAACATACCTAGACAGAACTGTTCTTGACTCCGTTAAACTACGTTTTTATATGTAGAAATAGGACTCTGCTGGGTCAGCATTCTTGGATCTTCGCTAGTGAGATAACTCATGACATCCGCAAAGGATATCAATAGATAATTAACAAAAATGGTGCCCCACTAGTTCCTCCTTTAATTAAGAAGTAAATAAAATTAATGAGTAAGTTGTATTAGCTAATATATTAAAAATTACAAAAAGTTCATGAAAATGGTAGCACCGCAAAAAATTATATTCTATAACAGCATCCTGCAGAGTTAGTTTTTGTCGTAGGTTGCCGTTCCTTATACGGGGTCAACTGAGAAAAAGCGTTTAAATTTGGTTCCATTATAATACTCCAAGAGCCGCAGAAAGAAATAAAAAATGGCCGCGATCCGACTTCGGCGTGCATATATGTTATTGATTTTAGCTGCTTTTTAAAAATCAATAAATTTTTTCGATTTCGAACCAGGGGTCGAGAACTAACTAACCAAAATTATTTTTTTAAATTCGAAAAACAAATACACATTAAATTTTCAGATTTTCTCGTCAATGCTAATCGTTATAAAAAATAACCAAAAGATTTGGTCATACAGTATGTACTCTGTGTCCCATTTTAGTAGCGACTGTGGAGTAGTATGTCCGTTGTTACTGAAGGCAGAGCCTTGCGGTTTCGTCAACCTTTGGTAGTTCTTTAGTGAAACGAAAGGTGACATTAACAACATTTTCATGACTTGCTTAGTTTCTAAAGTACAGGGCGATTTTGGAAATTTGAAGTTTTGGGGCACGAGGGGTATCCTATGAAATACGGGAAAAGTGAAAAGCTCATCCACATAGATTTTTACGTAGAACTTAGTGGCGTAGTCAGTTTTTTTCTAAATGGTTTCGACTTTAAAAAAAATAAAGTTTGCCAATTTGATTGCGCTTGGTATGAGGTTCTCAAAAATTCATAAAGGCATGTGCGGT